TGGAGCCCTTCAAGACGTACGGCAGCACGGGCTTGTCCATCGTCTCCATCAGAACGCTCACCGGGGCTTTCACAATGTGATAGTTGTCGGTGAGCGCAAACCACTTGGTGTCAACCAACTTGGCAACCTCACACAAGTGATACATGGGCTCGTAGGTGGCTTTCTGCATCTTCAAGGTGACGTTGCCACCTGGGTGCCGCTACTGCCACTGCGAGTACTCTTCATCATTGCTAGGGAGAAACACCGAATCTCGATACTCCTTTTGTCTTTTCAGCGGAAGATTCTCATAAATCCGGAACCCCTCTCGCAAACTCCGGCGTCTCTATCCTGAACCCCATGCTACACCAACACTCAACCCTACATCCAACACCCCATCGCCCAAATCATAAACACCATGGAAACCGCAAAGCCTGCAAAGCCATAAACTCCCTGAACCTCTCTTCGAACCCATGGAATCCCAAATGGGAACCCCCTAGCCTGGTGCAGGGATCTCCTCATCTGCCATCGTTGTATCAAAGTAGGCAAGGCCCAAAATCTTCTTGAACGGATGATTCCTCGGTTCCCCTTTTTTTGGGGAGGTTGTTAGGGTTAGGATGCTGGGGAACGGATGTTATCGTAGGTTCCTTGCTGGGATCTCGAAGTTTGAGTTCGGGGTTTGGGGCTCAAGGACCTGGATGTTAGATGCATGAAATCGGTAGGTCGCTCTGCGAGCACTTCCAGAACTAGAAATCTGATATTCATGGCACTACACAGGATGTCAGCACAGAGAATAATTAGAAAGCATTTTCTTCACTCATGGCTAATCCCCAGCAAAACCTTACTGGGCTAGATTTATGGCCCAGCACATAAGATTACGTCGGGGTTATGGTCCACAAGTTTTAAAAGAGTTCTTCTCAGGAGTACCCCAGATTAATTCCAACACTATACCAACAATCAGAGCTTCGTCGGAACCGTCTCGCGCAGGTGGCCCTGCTGATCGAAGTAGGCCACGCCCAACGTGACGTCGTTGTCCGGCAGGTTCATGAAGAGGTTCTTACTGGAGCCATGGCGGATGTAGGTCGGGAACTCGAAGCTCGTGTTCAGGAGGGTGTTGGCATAGTTTCCCACAAGCATCGTGTTCGCGTTGTAGGTCATGTTGGTGCCTTTGCACTCCATCCAGCTTGGTGCGAACCCCGGATCCCCGCTCATGGCCGCCATGGTGACCATGGCGAATGCCACGTCGAACGCCATTTCCTCCATCATGTTCATAGGGCCATGGGCCGTGAAGGAGGTGTACAAAAACTGGGTCCAGTTGTGCTTGAGGTTGTAGATGGCATTGCCATTGATGTGCTCCACCAAGTACTCCGGCATCATGTGCTTGAAGAGATCCCACTTGTCGCCCAGGTACTGGCTGCCCCGCACAGCCATGTTGTTGTCCGGCATTTCGTGGGCCTCCATCTCGAACTGGTCGAGCCAATAATTCTTGATGGGCACAGCGTCCATCTCCATCAGGAAAAAGGAGTCGTACATGTTCATGTAAGGACCTGCATACATGGCGTCCATGATGCTCTTGAAGACGGTATTCGGACCGGAAACCCAGTGCTTGTTCGTGGTGTAACCGTTGCTGTCGTACACATCTTGCTCCGGATTCAGCATGGCTGACATGTGCTTGATGTTTGAGAAGCACTTCATCCAGCTGTACATGGTGCCGTTCGTCATGTTGGTGGAGTTGTACATGTCCATGTCCATCTTCATCTTGAACCCATCCTCCAAGTCCATCACCACCTGCTGGGCCATCATGTTCTTGGACAGATCCTTGCTATAGACCAGGATAAGGTCGATCATGCTCTTGTTGGACTTCGTCATGCACGGCATGACGGACTCCCACATCATGCCGGAGTCGTTCAACAGCATCACCTCACCCCCCCCACCCCCACGACCCAAACCAAACACCAAATGCAGCCTCACATCTCAGATTCCAAAGATCATGATGGGCCTCGTTGGGGGCCCGTACAGTAAGGAGTGTCTCTTTCTCGGCGTAAAACAACCCTAACTTTTAGAAATGTCTACCTCCTCGTCCGTGGAGAAAACGCGGACCACTGCCAAGCGCTCCTCATGGCCTTCGCACCGCACAGCTTTCAGGGTTTGGAGCTTCAACACGCGCATCACTGACCAGGGTTTCGGAGGTTTGTGTGTGATCTAGGGTTTTTCGGCCAACGGGGGGAAATGATGTACTGCCATTAGGGACCCCAAATGATCGGCCAAATGATAGGAACTGTGGCAACGTAGTTTTCCGAAGTGGTGCACATGTCTTGTCCATGAACTCTTTGGTGACCTGGACAACCCTGGTCCATTCTGATCAATTCCGGGCCAGTGGCCTGCAGCCCACACTTGCGTAAATCCCAAAGCCGCGAGAGCTAAGGCAAGCATCATGGTGGGCACAGAAGACCGAGATGAGGAGGAGTGGATGCTTACAGTGCAAACGTCTTCAGCCAAAATGGCTGTGTTTCAGAGTACCATTTGAGGGTTAAGGCTTTAGGCTCAGGAGAAGCTGCAAAGTTGAGGATACAAGGCTATCGGCTTCTTAGGAACCCGAGGCCGAGGATTCATTGCCAGACCCTAGATCCTGCCGTTGCCTGATATAACCCCAAATCCTAAACCGTAAACTCATGGAACAGCACTTGCCCTGCATCATGCTGCGCAGCTACACGATGATATTGGGATTATATAAGAGTACTATTGGGGTCATATTGGGAATATATGCACACAAAACAGAAATCTGCTTTTGCCCGCCACGCATCACCAACTGTTTCGCTGTACAAGAAGAACGACCGATCAGATTTGTGCATCTGGTACACAGGACGAGGGGACGCAGAAACCCAAACCTTTAGATGTTGTGAACAAGCTTCTCAGCAGGGGCATAAAGAAAGTCTTCTAACGAAATGCTCCCCAAAGGCGTCCCCAAGCATAGGCTCAGCCTTCACGTACTTAGGGATTAGGGCTTTTGCCACTTGTGGTGGCAAACCACACAGCACGGCACGAAGCACACATATCGCACTCCTGCCAGCGGTGGCAAACATGAAACTCTCGTAGTGCGCCGGCCAAAGTGAAGCTGCCGAAGCTTACATGCAATTTAAAACCTGCTGGCAACCACCCTAGGGGTCCAGCCGCCTAACACAGGTGAATCCGATTTGACAGAGCTTAGACTTGGAGGTGGTAGCACAAAAAAAACCAAAGAATACCACTCCTAGTAGTTAGCCCGAGAAACGGCTTCAGTAGAGGTTTAGCCTAGCCCAAATACACCACACCCAGCTTCGAGGTAGGTGATATATTTCCCCACTCCATCCAATCTCACAGTCAATATCTCAGCACATTTTTGAAACGATGCATCGCTGCACCCTAGATTCTAGCTCCCACACCCCGCAGCATCACCGCCCAAAAGAAAACACTTACCATAAGTATTACTAGTCTACAAAGCAACTAGAACAATCATACTAGAATGGAAATCGTATATGATCAGAACATTGGTGGCTTTCATTATTGGGAAGGGACTTACTCTCCTCTTGAAGCCCCAACCCCAAACCCCAAACCCCGAACCCCTGCAAAAAACCTTTGAGAGTAATAAAAAGCTGGGAAGTCCTATGTTGGTACTTTTGTTGCCATTGAATTTCTTGCGACCTGATTCCCATACCGCTGTCACCATCAACATTACCATCACGGTCCAAGTCAAGCAGTGACCTCCAGAAACATGGCGCCCTCTCATGGAGCGACATGCTCTGCCTACCTGCTGCAAGGGATGAGTCCAAGGCAGATCCTTGAGGCCCCTCGGCCCCTGGATTCCCCTAAACCCTAGGGTTTCGTGTGTAGGTAGAAGTTGTCCCGCTAACCCTTGGACCTCCCGGCTTTTTAAAACGATACTCAGTTGAGGAAGGCGGACGCAAGCAGCGCAAGCACGCAGAAAGTGCTGGAACTCTGCGCGAAGCTGGGTACGGGCAGCTCCTAGGTGCTTCTCAAATATTCTCTGTATATATGTAGTTATGAGCTTTTTCTGCTATGAAGATATACATGCATGCACGCAACGCAAAGATGGATTATGGGGGGCCAATCGTTTGTGGTTCTTGGCAGGTTTACAGTTTAGGGTTCATGGTAGAGCTGCGTCCCCAAAATGGAGGCATATGGAGGCAGGATTGGTGCTTCAGGTGTCGAAGATTTTCGGGGTTCCAGAACAAAGTTTCAGTACAAGTTTGAAGCAGCATTGCTGGCTGAGATTATTCTGTGCAACAGTAGATGTCCTAAAGTGCCAGGAGCCTTGCTTCTTACTGGCGATCCCATCACCCCGACTGAAGCAAATGCACTCCTCGGTAGTGGAGGTGATCGTGGCGTTCTCGTCTACGGTGCTTGTGGTCATCACGGTCGCGGTAGTCGTGGTTGTGGATGTGGTGGTCACTGGGATCAGCACCGATGATTTGCCTGTGATCTCAATGGTTCCCACAAAGCCCGCATCCGTGATGGCCTTGCTGATGACTCGAGTGGTTTCCGCCAGCGAGACGGTCTCAATCTCCACTTGCTTCGCCGCAGCTTGTTCTGGGCTGTCCATCATCAAGGTGTAGATCGCCAGAAGCGTGGTCTTCAGCTGCCTGCTGTCTTCACTCAGCAAGCGGCTGGTCTGGAACTCCAGCATCACCTGCTCCAACGACACACCCATCAAAGTCGCCATTCCTTGACGCATAGCAGTGGTCACAGTGCTGTTGCCCGTGATAGTGGCCGGATCATCAACGACAATGGGCATCGTGACTTCCACGTTGTTGAAGACTGCTCCGGCGAGCGTGGTGGTGGTTGTCACGCTCTTGGGATCCAGCATGCAGACCCCGGATTCGAACATGGGCCTCCACATGCAGGAGGTATCCTCGATGCAACCGGATGCGTTCTCCACATAGTCCACAGCACACTTGGAGATGTTGCCGAGGGTCTCCAGGTACTCCTTCACGCCATAAAGGGTGGTCGTGCACTGGCGGTCATCAACTGG